ATCCCATATCTTTTATCAAACCTAGAGTAACAATCTGCAAAGAAATACACTAAAATGTCAGCCACATTGCCATTGAGAATGGTCATTTTGTTGTCTTCTTTACGTTCCTGTTTGCCAAGTGTCTATTTATATAATCAGAAAAAAAATACGAATATGTATGAATAACTCTTCCCGTCTTACTGCCCCTCCTCCTGCTCATGAACGTGATCCTGCCCTTGAGCCCCGCTTTTCTCATCCTCTCCCAACCCCCACCCTTGAATATTCCCATTGTCCATGCCCTCGGTCTGAAATCTTTGGTTTTTAAACAATAGGTAGTTACCTTGGTGTTTGGCTCACCAATTTTAAAGTCAGGTCACCCAGGTGAAATGGGCATTTCTCTTGTATCTTGCAATATCTGTTGCTATTAACTGTGAACCAAAAGTACTACCATAGGGTACAATTCAGCTCACTTGGGCCCCTCCCTTGATGCACTTATGGAGCCCCCACTTCGGCTGCCCCAAGTCCTAGCCCTGAAGTAGACAGACCAGCTCTGCCTTTAAAACTCTATTGGGAGAAACGAGCAAGCCAGCAAGCAACGTGATAGTGAGTAAGCACTGGGTGCCGTTCCTGGGGACCCACAGGCTCTGTGCCCTGACGGAGGGCACACATACGGTCTTATTCAGCTGTCTCCCCTCGAATGTCACCATTATTATTTATGTAATATTTGTTCAGCTAATTCATCCTTTTTATTTGCTTAAACACATTGATTTGAAAATGAAATAGTTAATATTCTTACCATCAATGGAAAACCAGTAAATACCACTGCCATAAATAAAATAAATGTAATGAACAGCAAGCAATGTGATCAAAATCTAGCTCTATACTGTTTCCTGGTCCTTCTTTATTAAAAGGGAACATTAGCAAGGATTGAAGAGATGCGGAAGACTTAATGCCACAGGGTGAGACAAGATGCTAGAGCAATTCACAGGCCGTCAGGGGAATTTAAAAGGAATAACTTTCTCACTATGAGATTCAGCATTATTTAATGCCACGGCCTGCTACTGTCTAAAATCATATTACATTCAACCCAAAACAATCTCATGTACCAAAGTGGTACTCATCTACATCAGTCGGGTCCTGCAGAGGACTTGAATGAAAGTTCAAAGTCATGGGCAAAATTCACAGGAACATAAAAGAGATAGTGAAGTATCTGGAGGATAGGAACAGAGGGGAGACTTTATCTCCCTTGGGGCTGAAAAGACGAGAGGAATAAATCATGTTCCTGGAAAAGCTGGAGCTAAAGCCATGGTGGGGAGGAGGTCTAGAGTCAAGGAGACACAATTGGTATCAGAGAAGCAGCAAGCAGTGAAGAGGGAAGAAATACCTCGGCCTTTCTCCTCCCAGCTTCTCCAGCACCTCCAATTGGCCGACCCGAACCAGCGGCACGTGGCAAGCAAGCCTGGGAGATGCAGTCCATGGGGTCAGCCTCTTAGCACAGAGCAGCACAGGAAAGAGGCATGGTCAGAGGAGCCAACAAAGAATCAACACGACATTTCTGGGAAATGTTGCTGCACAGAACAACACGGCGGGCACACGCAACCCAACCTGAAGCAGGAGTGGGGTGGGGACAGACAGAGTGGCCCGGAAAAGGACAAGACCTGAGCGAAGGTTGGGAGGGAGAGCAAGCGCGCACACTTCCCTGTGCATGCCTAACCTGCTTCCTCTCTGGCCCGCAGTCTCCGTGAGCATCAACAACCTGTACCCGGGCTGCGAGAACGTGAGCGTGAGGAGCCGCAGCATGATGTTCGAACCGGGCCTCACCAAAGGCATGCTGGAGGTGTTCGTGGCCCCATCCCACCACCCACACTGCTCCGCTGACGACCAGTCCACTAAGGCCATCGACATCCAGAATGCCTATTTGAATGGTATGTACCACCCGCCCCAAAGGAGAACGGCCTCATGTCCTTTTGCCATGGCTATAAGTGGTTCCCCTAACGGAGTCTGTCCCAGTGGGCATCTACCACATCCCACAAAGGACAGAGGGAGGGCCAGTGCGGTGACATTGGGAGTGACCCAGGACTGAAGCAGGGCTGGTTAACACCCCTAAAAAGTAAAGCTAAACACCTTGGTGTCTTCTGCATGTAGCAAAGCACTGGGCACACAGTAGGTGCTTCATAAATTACTGTCAAGTAAATTAATATGTTTGTTAAAGTAGAGCTAAAACATCACTTGGATGGGAAATCTCATAAAATACAATCCCTCTAGCAGTTTGATATACACAAGAAAAATTCTTTTTAAATACATCTACACTCATGACTAATGCTCTGATACAGACATAGTCCATTTTTTTTTTCCATAAGCAAAATTTCAAGTGTGTTCTTTGCTCTCAAACATTTCCAAAAGGGTGAAGCTGTAAATGTTACCAGGGATGGTTTCCTTCCTCCAGAAACCACTGTATCTTCCCTGTAGCGCCCCCTTGGAGCCCCAGTGCCCCCAGCGGGGCCCAAGTCACTTAAACACGAGCCCCTGCCTTATTGAGACCTAGTTTAGAGCAAGGATAAAGCCATTTGTCTGAGACTCAGTTCCCTCATTGGTGAGGATTTAGTAAAGGGCCTGGTACAGCGTTTGGCACAGGGAGGCAATCAGATAATGGCAACTGGGGGCATCTTCAGGAAGACCCTTTTATTATTCTGAACCCAGGGAGAAATAGACTACTAAAAGCCATGGTTCTTAAACCCTAACATGCATGCGAATCCTCTGGGGGGGCTTGTGAAAACACGGACTGCCGGCCCCACCCCCAGAGCTTCTGTTTCAGCAAGTCTGGGGGGGTTCCAGGTAATGCTGCTGCTGCTGCTGCTGATCTGGGAACCCCACCTTGAGAACCACTGGCCCTAAGGGAATAGAATGGAAGTCCATGTACATTTTGCTCTCTTTTTTTTTTTTTTAAGCTGAGCCATCCTGCCACCTGTTGGCAGCTCAGCAGCAGCTCAGCTTGGGCCGGGCATCAAACTGCAGTTGCTCAGAGCTNACTTGTCTGTTCCCCTTCCCCCAATTCCCCAGCACTGTTCCCATCCCCCCAATTCCCCAATAAAAATCTTTAAAAAAAAAAAAGGGAGGACAAAAGGGCTGGTTTGAAGGGTGACTCAAATGAGGGAAGAAGGTGAACTGGCTTCAGGGGGTCATGGGCTTATCTGTTGACAATGATTTTTAGAAATGCAAGAACAGAGCTCATGAAAATCAAAATTACATATATATGTTTCCACCAATTTATAAAATAATTACATTCTTGGAAAACTCAGTATGTATTAAACCATGCCCCCTCCCCGCAGAAAACCCCTCTGGGTCCTGTGTAAAATGATTCAGCTAAGTCCTAAGCTCAGATGATCATAAACAAGTTTATCTCCTATGTAAATACTCAGCAGACACTTAGAAGTCATCCCAGGAGAATTCTTACTGCTCAGGACATTGTATGTATATGTCTGCGCACCTAGGACCCACCACCAGTAAGTATTTACATCACTCAACAGTGACAACTAAAAATGCTGCTGCACATTACCTAAATGCCGGCTAGGGGGCAGTGTTGCCATGTTGAAAGAAGGGTCACAATTTACCAACAGAAAATGGGGACAGGAATGTTGGCACCTTCCAAGATTTAGAACTGGAAGCAGTGGTCCAGCCAGGTCTGAGATAACACTGAGACAGAAAGGAAGGCGTTTACCTCTGAAACCCTTTTGCATGGGTCACCTCTGAGTCAAATCATTTATACCACACCTTTTTATTGAGCATCCTACATGAGCCAGGTGCTGGGGATACTGTCTCTCCCCTCAGGTTGGCTCCTAATCTAGAGGGAGAGAGCTTAACACAATTACCCTGCAGTCTGATGGGGTCGCGATAGAGAATCATGTGTGGGCCTGAGCCTGCCAGGAGGAAACTTCTGGGAAAGATCACTGCAAGATAAGCTCGTGAGATGCATGGAAGTTAACAGGCTGGAGCAGAGGGGATCACCCTGGGTAGAGAAGAAGGAATGCATCTCAGGCCGCATATCACAGTTCCAATAGGTCCTTGTTACAGAGCCAGAAGCCAGGCTAGGGTGATGGAAACGATGCTGGTGTGTGAGACAGGATGGAACTAGGACAGCATGATTAATGTCCCACTATGTAGACCACTCTGGGTGCACAGAGCACCTTGCAAACACCATCCTATCCAAAGCTCTCATGTTATATTTGATGTCAGAATGTTCACATGTTTGTATTTCCCTGAGGCCATGGATCTGGGGCCAGTCTAGGCCTTCCCATTCCCAGGACTGTGCTTAGCACATGGGAAGCTGTCCAAAAGTGTTTGTTGATGAATGAATGAATGAGAATTAACCATTGTTGGGGAGATTCCTGCTTCTCCCTGTAGGACTGAGAAAGAAGAAATTGGAAACATCATTGTGTCCCCCAGCCCCCTCCCCATGATTTAGCTTCACACCTCATAATGCCCCTCTTTTCATCATCTTGTACCATCACAGTGTCGTAAAGGAACCAGACCCCTCCACACAGATAAGAGCAGGTGCCCCTGGCCAGTCTCACAGGTCTGACGCTGTTCCGTAGGAATTGCTCCACCTAATTCATTGTGCATCAAAATGTGATGGAAATTGGCAAATCCATAGACACAAAGAGCAGATCAGTGGTTGCCAGGGGCTGGGCAGAGAGGGGAATGGGAAGTGACTGGTAATGGGTGCTCGGCCTCCTTCTGGGGTGACAAAAGTGCTCTGGAGCTAGATAGCAGTGGGGATGGTCCAACATTGTAAATGTACTAAAAGCCCCTGAATGGTACACTTTAAAAGTGGTGAATTGTATGATATGTGCACCTTACATGAATTTTTTAAACATGTAATGAGGACAGAATAAAATGGGTAAATTTCGCAGACCAGGGAGGATGCAGCCCCGGGGGTTTGGAACCCTGGGACTCGGCATGGCCTCTTGCTCAGGACCTTTTCTTTTTCTATGACTAACAGGCCCTCTTTCATCTGTGTTCAGGATACGCACCGAGGACTCTTCATCCAGCAGCTGAGACCCACGCAGAACCTGCAGCCGAGAATCAAACTGAAGCTGTTCGGGCACTCGGGGTCTGGGAAGACCACGCTGGTGGAGTCTCTCAAGTGTGGGCTGCTGAGAAGCTTCTTCAGGAGACGCCGGCCCAGGCTGTCCTCCACCAACTCCACCAGGTTCCCACCTTCGCCCCTGGCGTCCAAGCCGACAGGTAGGCGCCTCCACCTGGACCCCTCTTTCTCCAATAGGTGCTTGCTTTTGACCTCTCTGGGGTCAAGGCCTAGGATAGGTGATGGCTTTGTGATGGTTGCTTGGCCCCAGGTGGAGCAGATCCCACTGCCTTGGTGGCTTTCAGGTGTGATCTAGGCCAGCTCTAGGCCTTGTGACCACCCCCCTACGGCCCAACAATTGCAAACTGCCCTGTGAATAGCAAGGAAAGAGCCTCACTGAAGTCACAGCCACAGACACAAAGGTCCACAATCACAAATGTGCAAATAGCAGATTTGTGTCGTGCTCTACTCGGGACTCTGTCCTTGAGGACGCAAAGAGCTTGGACTAACACTGGTTCCAGATCGCATAGATCAGATGTTGGCCCCTAGATGGGTCCTCACCC